AGGGCCTCCCTGGGTGGTTTGGTCAGTTGGACATCTGCCTTTGGCTAAGGTCATGATCTTGGGGTCCTGGGATGGAGTCCCACATCGGGCTCCCTGCTCAGCAGGGAGCCTGCTTCTCCCTCTCCCTCTGCCTGCCGCTCCCCCTGCTTGTGCTCACACACTCTCTCTCTGTCAAATGAATGGATAAAGATCTTAAAAAATAAAAAAAAGTAAGAAAACAGGAACATTCTGGAGAAGGAGATCAAAAGGAGCTCTAATAGATATTAAAATATAGGGGCGCCTGGGTGGCTCAGTCTGTTAAGCATCTGCCTTCGGCTCAGGTCATGATCCCAGGGTCCTGGGATCAAGCCCCTCATCGGGCTCCCTGCTCTGCGGGAAGCCTGCTTCTTCCTCTCCCACTCCCCCTGCTTGTGTTCCCTCTCTCGCTGTCTCTCTCTCTGTGAAATAAATAAATAAAATCTTTAAAATAAAAAAATATTAAAATATAAACTAAATTAATTGAAAGACTGTGGGTGCTAGCAGATTAAAAAGATAGATCAAAAGAGGAGACCTGAAAATCCAGAAGTAAATGCAAGTTCTTACACAAATTTGGTTTATGATAATGGCAGGGTTTCCAATTAGTGAAGAAAAAAAACATTGTTTAATAGGTGATTTCAGGGATAGCAAGATAACATTTGGAAATTGTCCCATAGAAAAGTAGTAAGAAAGATGAACAGACAGTGGAAAGTAAATTACAAATGACTCTTTAACATAATGACAGTGTTTACTCACAATAAAATGAAAAAGTTCAGTCACAATAAGAAATGCAAATAAAAATTACACCGAGGTAACATTTTTCACCTTTCAGATTGGCAAAGATCAAAATGTTTGATAGCACACCAAAGTTGGTGTTTGCATATGGAAATGGACATTCTTAAAAATAGCTCATGTTCAGTCTTTATGGAGGGCGATCTGGTAATATTTATCAAAATAAAATATACCTATCTTTTGACCCCCAATTTTATTTCTAGCAATTTTTTGATAGCAATACTTCCACATGTGCAAAACAATACACGTTATTATTGTGGAACTTTTAAAAAAATATTTATTTATTTGAGAGAGAGAGAGCATGCACCCATGCAAGCAGGGGAGGGGCAGAGGGAGAGGGAGAGAGACCCTCAAGCAGACTCCCCGCTGAGCACAGAGCCCCACTAGGGGCTCTACCTCATGACCCTGAGATCATGACCTGAGCTGAAACCAAGAGTCGGACACTCAACCAACTGAGCCACTCAGGCTTCCCTGGAATTGTTTTTTAATAGTAAAGATTAGAAATGAATTAAAAAGCCTAAAGGAATCTAGTTAAATGGGGCAGCCATATAATGGTATACTATGCATAAGCACATATAAAAATTAAGGAGGGAGCTTTTTGATACTGATACAGAATTATCGGCAAGCTATTTTGATAAATGAAAAAGACAAGGGGAAGGATATACAGAGAATGTGCTACCATTTGTGGAAAAAAGGGAGGAAGGGAGTATAAGTGTATATATTTGTAAATTACCTCTGGAAAAGCATCAGAAACAGTAACATTGGTTGCTTCCAGGGAGGGCACCTTGGTGGTTGAGGGTCGGGAGTGGAAGAGACATTTCACAGTTTACTCTTTGATATTTTCCGAATTTTGAGCCTTATTAATAAACTACCTACCCAAAGAAAGGAAACAAAGTTAAAACTAGAAAAGAAAATGAAAACATAACTTACTCTGATTTACACAAAAAGAATGTCTCATGAACATGTTCTTTTCTTTTCTTCCAGGACCTCCATCCTCAGAGGATTGGCTTTTTATCTCCATGGCCTTTTCCTCATGATAGCAAGATGGCTACCACAGCTCAGGCATCATGTTCTCACACAAACATCCCCCAAATAAGAAAGAAGGGACAAGGAAAGCCAAAAACTTTCTCCTAATGATGCTTTTTGTCCTGGGAAGGAAGACTTCCCTATACATGTCATCGGTCAGAAATGGATCTCAGGTCCATCCTAAACCAATTTCTGGCAAAAGGGAATGGGTTACCTGGCTCCTGGGATTGAAGAAAGGGCCTCTCCTCCTCATATCATGGAATCTCTGCCCTAGTACAGAAATGCGGTTCTGTTCCCAGGAAAGGTACAGAAGTCTGCTGGGGAGGTTGCAGAAGGACATCACAGCTGTTGATGTGAGCCACTCGATCTTTTGAAAAAAAAAATCTTAATTACCCTAGGACAGCATAGCCCCACATCTCCCACTGCCACTACTCTAAACCCAGCTGTGTCCATCTCTCTTATGGACTGCTGCCTTAGCTCCTTCCTGGCCTCTCTGCACCCATGCTGTCATTGGTCTCGGTGCTGGCTCTGTCCCCCATGTGATAGAGGAAGGGCATTCTCAAGAATAAAGTATGGGAGCCTAGCTGGATTCAGACCTAATTGTCTCAACTATTCTTGTATCTGGTTCTTTCTTTGGAAGACGACAATCAAGAGGCTGTCCTCGTTGATTTTCTCTCAGCCTCCATTCTAGACAGAGCTCTTCTCAATATAAAGTGGGCTCTGTTAGCGTGGCTTGGAGCCCGTGTGAACTCAGCAGGGGCAAAATAAGCATGGGCTGCATTAGAGGCTCAGTTGTGTCCTCTGAAATTCCTATGTGGAGGTCCTGCACCCCAGTACCTCAGAACATGACTGTGCTTGGAGAGAGTCTTTAAAGAGATAATTCAATTAAAGTGAGGTCATTAGGGTGAGCCCTTATCCAATCTGACTGGTGTCTTTATAAGAAGAGGAGATTAGGGGGCCCCTGGGTGGCTCAGTAGGTTGAGTGTCTGACTCTTGGGTTCAGCCCAGGTCATGATCTCCTGAGATGGAGCTCTGCACTGGGCTTATGCTCAGCGTAGAGTCTGGTTGTCCCTCTCCCTCTGCTCTCTCTCATTAAAGGAAAAAAAAAAGACGGAGATTAGGACACAAACAGGAGGGAAGACCATGTGAAGACACGGAGAGGACAGCTATCTGCAGGCCCAGGAGAGAAGCCTCAGAAGAAACCAATCCTGCTGACACCTTGGTCTTGGACTTCTAGCCTCCAGAACTGTGAGAAAATAATTTTCTGTTCTCGAAGGCCCCCAGCCTGCACTGCTTTGTCACGGCAGCCCTAACAAATTAACACAGGCTGGTATAGTCCCAAATGTGAATCGCGTCACCTAGGGCCTTAGCGCCATTTCTTTTATTTATTTATTTATTTATTTATTTATTTATTTATTTATTTATTTAAAGATTTTATTTATTTATTGGACAGAGAGATAGAGAGCACAAGTAGGCAGAGCAGCAGGCAGAGGGAGAGGGAGAAGCAGGCTCCGCACTGAGCGGGGAGCCCGATGCACGGCTCGATCCAGACCTGAGCCGAAGGCAGGTGCTTAATGACTGAGCCACCCAGGAGCCCAGCACCATTTCTTTTAAAAAGCTTTCCTCCTTTTTGTTTTGTTGAAAAATGTATAAAATTTGGTTTTTATCTAAATACACTGGAGCAATGATTAAGGATTCACATGGTCTGGCCTTGGCATACTGCAAGAGAGGGGTATTAACTCTAAAGATACAGCTCAGGCGCCTGGGTGGCTCAGTCGTTAAGCATCTGCCTTCGGCTCAGGTTATGACCCCAAGGTGTTGGGATCGAGCCCCGCATCGGGCTCCCTGCTCTGCGGGGAGCCTGCTTCTCCCTCTGCCTCTCTCTCTGTGTCTCTCATGAATAAATAAATAAAATCTTAAAAAAAATGTATACAACTCACAGTAACTCTTTTTTTAAACCACTTTTTTTTTTTTAGGTTTTTTTCAATTTTATTTGAGAGAGAGAGAAAAAGAATGGGGGGAGGTGCAGAGGGAGAGGGAGAAGCAGACTCCCTGCTGAGCAGGGAGCCCGATGCAGGGCTCGATCCCAGGACCCTGGGATCATGACCTGAGCCAAAGGCAGATGCTTAATTGACTGAGCCACCCAGGTGCCCCATGACTTAATTCTTAAAAAAGGAATTTGGATCTAATACTTTCATGGTCAACCTTAGATAACCCATCACTCAGTTGGATCAGAGGGCTCTGTGTTTTGTAGCCACGCCATCTTGATGAGCCCCAGCGACAGGGTTCTTAACATCAGACCCAGACGGTGGCCTTTTATGGAAGGAGAAGTCTGCGGCAGCCGCTTCCCTCACAATCCTCCATGTTCAGGTTGTCTCTACCAGGCGGAGATAGATAAATTCTGGGGCCTAAACATTTCCCAATAAAAGAGCTTGGGAAGATTTAAAGTTCTTTGGGGGACAAATAAAATAAGACAAAAAGGAATAAACAAGTAAAAATCATGAGTGCCCCTTCTGAGTTGAAGGAGGTCGGCCTAGATCTCTTCACCAACAGAATGTGAACTTGGTCTCTCATACTTTATGTCTGAAGTGCCTATCTTTCCCTTTGACCGGCCATGTGGAAGGAACACTCTTTCACTTTGCATTGTGGCTGGCGGTGTGAGAATTGGCTCCGACTGAATGCCTTCGGGACGTGAAGGTGATCTGATTATTTGAGAAAAACCACATTTTTCTTTTTTTTTTTTTTTACCTGCTCAGAGAAATTCTATAAGGGTGTGTGTTATGTGAAGTTTTTACCTGAGAGGCCTCCAGAGCCAGACCGACTGGGTGCAAATCCAGCTTTGCCATTTGCAGCTGAATTGGGCAAGTCATTTACCCTCTCTGTGGCTCAGTTTCCCCATTTGTTCAAGGAGAACAGTAAAAGTATCTATCTCAGGGAGATGTGGTAGGGACTGCGTAAGTTAATATTGTAAAGCGTTTAGAACACCGTCTGGCACCTTGTCAGCGATCACAGGCTAATACAATTATCACCTGAATTACATACACCAGTCTGTCACAGAAGTACCTTTGTAGGATTGTATTTTAATGTTTTGACCTTTGCCTTTGACATTGCCCCAATGGCATAGTGTTTCTATGTGAATCCCAAGAAAATGAGTGATCTAGGTCTCAATCTCTTCTTTATTTGCATGTGGTTACAATTTATAAATACACTTGCCATTTTCCTCCCCCTCCCAAACTCTCCCTTCTACCTATTAAGTGTATCCAAACCCCCAGTTTTTAATGACTCCCTTTCCTGTCTAGGCGGAGAGGGTAGGGGTGGTCCTCCATGTAACTCCATCTTCATATAGAGCCTACTTCAGTCCGTGTGATGTGTGGGCTCTCAAAGGGCCTCTGAAGCTTGGGGATGAGCACCACGAATCTGCTGGAGGTCCCACTGATGTCCTTGCAAGTGACAAGGACTGGCCTCCTTCTGTGCCACGCTGAGGGTGCAGAGCGCCGTGGTGGGCAGCAGCGAGCATCATATGCCCTGTCCGTGCCGGAAGCTGAGCTGCTGCAGGCCCAGTGGGCAGGAGGGTCTGCAATGAAGTCTCAGGCCTGCTCAGATGGTGGTGAGAGTCTTGTGGCGGGTACATACCCAGCCAGTGCCCGGCCCTGCTCTCGGAGACGCGTCTGAGGCCCAGCCCCTTACGGTCTGCCTCTCAGGGGCCCTACCCAGGCCCTAGGTCAATCCGTGTGGGTAGGGTAGCCTCAGGGAGAAGGTGCTCTTGCACCTCCCTTCTCCTGGCTGTTCCCAGACACCAAGAGGCATGGGTGACGAGTTGGGTCCTTGGCCCTGTTAGAGGGCATGGCAGCCCAGTGTCTCTGTTTCAGCCAGGTGCCAAGCTTTGCCATCCTCCTGGTAGGGTGTAGAGAGCCCGGGAGGGCCAGGGGCACCCTCTTCAGGGGTGGGGTACGGAGGCTCTGGGGAAGCAGGGGGGTCTCCGGGGCCCCGTGCCCCCCCCAGGACTGGCCCATTGTAGATGTAGATGTTGCCGGTAACGGTCACAGACCCGCCGGTGACGTGAATGCCGTTGGTGCCTGTGGGGAAGGAGGCAGAGTGAGAGAGGCCAACGACAAGCTGCTGGAGTCTCTGTCTTGCTCTGTTCTAGTCTTCTCATTTCTGTCTGGCTCACACTCTCCTCCTGCCCGCCATCCCTCCCACCCCACCCTTCCTTCCCTGCCCCCTCTCCTCCCTGCTGCCTGCCCTAGGCTCACCATGGGCCACCTGGCTTTGCTCTGGGAGCTCAGGCTCCAGCTCCCTGGCCTGGCTGAGAGGACTCTGCTGCTGTAGCGCCTCTTCCTCCAAACTCGGGGGCGCTGGGAGCCTGGCTGAGGCCGGGGCCGTATCTCTAGGGAAGGGCAGAAGTGGCTTTACCAGGTCAGGGAAATGTGGGTTGACCCTTGGAGGCTCCCAGCTTCCGTCAGCAGTATTTGATTCCTCTCCCTGTAGGAGAGAGGCAGAGAACCGACCGATGATGTGGCCTCGGACCCCAGCTTTCTTTAATTCCCACACCCCACCCCATGCTTAGGCAGCTCACTGTTCGCCTCTACTCTTACTTCATGCTCCCTGCCACAGTGCCTTTGCACTTGATGTCCTTCTTCCTGGGGCACTTTCCCTGAGATGTTCTGATGGATGACTCCCTCATTTCTTCAGCTCTCTGCTCAAATATCAGTTTATCCGAGAGGCCCTCTCTGTCCACTCTAAGATAATGTACCCCCACCCTTTGCCACTGTCACTCACTGTCCTGCTACCATGCTTTATTTAGCAACTATTACCCCCTGATAATGTATTTCTTTAACTTTAGTCTTGCTCCCCTGGCCTGTAAATCCAGGAGGGCAGGTACTTTGCTTTGCTCACTGCTATATCCAGGGTGCCCAGAATGGTGCCAGGCACGTGGTAGGCTCAATCACTCATTAGCTAAGTGGATGTTGAGGCCTGCACACTCTTACCCTGTCGACCCCTCCCTGTTCCCTTAGCCCCGCCTGTCCTCCTTGCTGCCTTCTCAGCCTTCCCCATTACCTCTGGATGCCTCTTGAGCAGGGATCCTGCAATGGAAAATGAAATGGGGGTCAGGCCTCCAGTAGGCCCTGGGTCCCCGGGCTCACACCCTTCACAGCCCACTGCGGCGTTCCCCCCACCCTGGGTTCCCAGAAGGAACGAGCTATCATTGCCTTATCTCCAGCCTCAGAATGGGGGCACTGGGTAGAGAGGATGTCTGTGCTGGGGGCGGGCATTGCAAGTCTTCAGGGCATGGACAGGCAGAAGGGTTGGCCCCGGGGAAGCTGACTGTCCCCCCAAACTCCTTCCCTCATGCAGGTGGGGACAGCCAGCCGGCCAGGCCCGCCTCCCTGCCTGCATCCAGCTCCTTCCTACCCAGCTTCCTGCAGAGAGAGGGGTGGCTCTTCCAGGTGCAGGCCAGGACGGTGGTGAGGAACAGGAACGAGGCCAGTGGCAGCAGGATGGCCAGTACCATCACAGTTCCTGCCGGGACAGCAGAGAGCAGAGCCCATGATGACACTGCGGAAGGCCAGGGTCTGGGGGTGGGGGCGGGGGCGCTAAGGACCAGCTTTCTAGTTCGCTGGGTGACCCGAAAAGGGAGAGCAGCTTTTCCCTTCCAGACCCACTGCAGTTCCTAAAGGCAGAATTAGAGAAACTTCCCTTGGGTTACAGAGAAGGGGAACCAAGTTGGACTTGGGGAGGACCTCCTGACAGCCAGGAGAAGCTCTATCATAGTTGGAGATCTTTGGGGGTGGTGCTGGTGGCCACCACGTAGAGACCCAAGGACTGGGGCAGCCTGTGGGTGAGAATAGGTGCATGCGCAGTTGGGTTTCAGGGCTGGAAGCAGGGGTGGGAGGCGGTACAGGCAGGATGGGGCTGCGTTTGTAAGCGACTCAGACCACAGTATAGAGCCACACTTCTGTGGACATGAGCATCCTAGAGAGAGGCCACGGTAGGAGCTGAGATTGCCCCTCTGTCTCTGTGGGGGTGTTTATGGGGGTGGGAGAGGAGGGGTTGCAAGGTCTCCACTCTTGCTCTGGGCAGGTTCTAGGAGAGGGAGGGAAGGGAGGCTGGGACTTGGGATTCTCAGGTTCTGGTACGTAGCCGTGGATAATTTCTGTCTTTCACAGCAGAGTCTACAGTGCCCATCAAGTGTGTCTGGGGAAGGTCAGGAAGACTTGGACATTTGCATCCTGGGAGCTTGCCCTTTCTGATCCACCTAAACCTGGGGCCTGAGGGAAGACAGAGTGGGAGGCATGGGAAAAAAACTGGACCTGGAGTCCGAGACATCTGGGTCCCGGCTCAACTGGGTGACTTTTTAAGTCATTCCTCCCTTTGGAGCACCTCAAAGATAAAATGAGGGGGTTAGGTACAGACTGTCTAAAATTCCAGCTCTAAAGTGCCAATAGTATTTGATACACGGTTAAAAAGTAACAAGAGGACATGGAAAAACACTTATGATGTATTTGAATGAAAAACCAAGTTACAAAATATTCAAATGACTACACTTTTAGAAAAACAATTATATGTATAGACATACACAGAAAAATGCCTGGGAGGATATATTAAAAAATGTTAAAAGAGTGGATATGCTAACTGATGGTCCTATGGGTGATTTTTATTTATTTTTATTTTTTATTTTTTAAAGATTTTATTTATTTATTTGAGAGACAGAGAGAGAAAGCATGAGCGGGGGAGGGGCAGAGGGAGAAGCAGGCTCTCTGCTGAGCGGGGAGCCCGATGCAGGGCTCGATCCCAGGACCCCAGGATCATGACCTGAGCCGAAGGCAGATGCTTCACCGACTGAGCTACCCAGGCGCCCCATGTGGGCGATTTTTAGTTTTGTTTCTCTGAATTTTCTAATTTTCTATGGTGTGCATGCATTATGGCATGGGCTCTGGAGTAAGAAAGAACCGAATATAGATTTTCATAATACCAGTTACCACGTGGGTGATCTGCGGCAAGTCACATAAACTCTGCTGAGCCTCTTCCCCTCGGTGAGGATAATAACAGAACTACATTGACCCTAGAACAACATGACACTTACGGGCGCTGACCCCCAGGCAGTCGAAAATCCATGTATAACTTTTGATTCCCAAAAAGTCTTAACTATGAATAGTCTACTGTTGGCCAGTAAGCCCTACCAGTGATACAGTTGATTAATGCATATTTTGTAGGTTATGTATTTATATACTGTGTTCTCACAATAAAGTGAGAGAAAAAAATGTCATTAAGAAAATCATAATGAAGAGAAAATATATTTACAGAACTGTGCTGTATTTATTGAAAAAAAAAGCCACAGATAAGTGGATGCGTGCAGCTCAAACTCATGTTGTTCAAGGGTCAGCTGTATTTTGTGGGGTCAGTAAGCAAGATTAAATGAGTTAGGGCGCCTGGGGGGCTCAGTCGGTTAAGCATCTGCCTTCGGCTCAGGCCATGATCCCGGAGTCCTGGGATGGAGCCCTGAGCCCCAAATCGCATCGGGCTCCTTGCTCAGCAGGGAGCCTACTTCTCCCTCTGCCTGCACCTCCCCCTGCTTGTGCTCTCTCTCTCTCTGTCTCTCTGTCTCAAACAAATAAATAAAATCTTAAAAAAAAAAAGATTAAATGAGTTAGTGATTGTCAAGTGCTGGCAGAGTGCCTGACACCTTGGCTCTCAATAAACAAAAGCTAGTATTATAAATATTTGGTAATTTAAAAAAAGTTAATAAACTCTCTCCCAACTAATAATGTTTACAGTCATTAGAAATATCCCTTAATCATCTGTTAGGCTAGGAAACCTGTAACTTCACAGATAAAAAAAAAACCCAAAAAACAAAACCAAACAACCAAGAAAGAGTCAAATGTGGGATGAACTCTCTAATAATGAAAGTGTGTAATCTCATAAAGAGATTCTCAGTCTAGTAAGTAGATTATATGATGGTGGCAGGTCCAGAATGATGACAGTGATGTCAGTTACAATTACCTATCAGTGTAGGAGTGGTCTTTGGCACAATAGTGTGTGTAACTTACAAGTTCTATGTATAATACATAACTTAAAAAGAGTATATGTATTTGTGTATATTAAGCTGGCCTAGGGATACTCCGTAGGGAACTTCTCTGCTTGCCTGTTCTGAGAGAGGAGGATTCATCTTTTCCCCATTTTTTTAGATGGAAGGAATAAAGGCATCTTCCCAGACTCCCCCCGCCCCCATGTGCCCCCTCAGCGCCAGGCCCCTCACCTGGCATCTCAGGGTGCTCTGGTGGATTTCTGCAGCTGGTGTCAGACTGGGCAGTGCCTGGAGCTGCCTCCACCAGGCCCTGCTCCTCACACCTGCGGAGGAAAGGGGGCCTGATTCAGGTGGGCACAGGGCTGGGGGTGACAAGCTGAGCCCGTGGGCGCAAGCACAGCGCGGTCAGCGGCTGGGACTTCTGGGATGGTGGCGGTGCGGCGTGGGGGCACACTCACCTTGTGTGGGGCTGGCAGCGGGCCCTGGGGGAGGAGGTGTTCTGGAAGTGGCCTGCCTTACAGGGCACACAGTTTCTGTTAGCTGCCCCGACTTCGTCTGGCAGGAGAAAAGCAAGGCCAGCCAGGGTGAGTGGGCAAGGGGAGAGTCTCTCCATGTGAGTTTCTGCTGCTCCCACTGGACGGCCCCTCCCTGCCCGCCCACCTCACTCTGTGGCACCTTTCCTGATCGCCCTCTTGCTCAGAGAAGCCTCCAGAGGCCCTGCCTCTGTCCTGGTTCCATGTCTCTGCAGACGCCCGCGGTGGGCCTTTCACAGGGAGGGAGAGGGTCTCTTTATACTGAAGAGAACTACCTGGGGGGCTTCCCCCCACCGGCACTCCCTGCCCCCTTTCGAGATCGCCGGCACCCAGCGTCCTCCCTGCCCTCCTCCCACAGCAAACTCTGACCTGTCAGCTGGGCCTCGGTGCCAGGTGGGCAGTCAGAGAGCGGCTCACAGTGCACACACTCAGTGTCCCAGTGCACGCAGAACATTCCTGGCTGGCAACGGCACTGGGTCTTCTGTCTGCTGGTGCAAGGCACGGTCTCCTCGAAGCCCAGCACTGGTGGGGAGACAGGAGGGCTCAGCGGAGGGGCCGCGGTCGGGGACATGCCGGCCCCCCCAGCCCCCCCCCCCCCTCCCCGCCACTCACTGTGGTCACAGGGACGGCACAGCTGGCAGATGGAGAGATGGTTCCAGTGCTCGTTGTAGGAATTTTCGGGACAGAGGGCACAAACGGTGTCCCGGCTGTGGCTGCATTCGGCCAAGACGTGCATGCCTAGAATGCGGGAATGGGAGTGGGGCCACCGCGGTGTCAGGGCACCCCGGCCCCGCCTCGCCTCGGCCGCTTGCTGCAGGACCCTGTCCTCTCGCTGGCCACCCACGAAGGATGGCCGGCTGGCTTTCCTGCGAGATGGTGTCTGTCTTCCCTCCGAGGCAGGGAGGCGGCCTGAGTCCCCTGCAACCCACCTCCCGGCCCCTGCTTCCTGGGCCATTGCCTCTCACCTGGGGGGCAGCGGGAGCAGCAGACCTGATGCTTGGGTTCGTAGTACTCCTTTTCCCGGTCCCGGCAGGTTTGGTTCTCCGTGTGGTATGGGGGCTCCTTCAAGGGGAGATGGAGGCGGGGGGAGAATTATTCGGGGGTCAGCTGGGGAGGGCAGAGGGACTACAGAGAGGGCTGCCCAGACCCCCTCTTCCCCTCCCAAGCCCGCCGCCACCCACCTGCACGGGCCCCGCCCTCAGCAGTTGGGCTTGGGACGCTGCCAGGACACCGCAGAGGCCCAGGATGAGTGGCCCCCAGGCCAGGCCGCAGGGGGAGGCAGCCCAGGATAGGCGCATGGCGGCCAGTCGGCCAGTCGGCCAGATGGGGCGGAGGCCGGGGGAGGAAGGTGGGAGGCCTGCACGTCCTGGGCAGCGGTGAGGGCAGCCTCCTGAGCCCGGGGCCTGCGACAGGGCTGGGGCTGACGCGCCCCCAGGGGCCGAGCGGCCGGGCCTGGCCTGGCCTCCAGGGCTCCAGCGCTGGGCTCAGGAAGTGGGAGTGGAGCGAGCCGGCCTTCGGGGCGGGGACAGGGAGCTCTGGGAGCAGAGGCAGCTGTCGCAATCGGGGAAGAGGAACAGGCTTGGCGGCCCCGATGCAGGGCGGGAGGGGGCGGCCGGGAAAGCACGTGAGGGCAGCAGGGCCGGAACCGGGCCTCCTCCCTTCTTCGGAAGCCTGGCCAGGAGGGGAGGACTGCCGGGGCAGGCTAGGTGGGAAAGGGGCAGCAGAGCCAGGGGGACAGAGATGGGCCTCCGAGAGCAAGGCAGAGCTGCCTTGGAACAGAGAGACGGAGAGAGACAGAGCCGTGTCCAGCTGGGTGCCAGATCTGAAAGTGGAAGGGCCCGTGACCGACACACACACGGGGAGTGCAGGGACCCACAGAGGCCCCCAGCTGGCCAGCCAGTTGCAGCATCTGGGAAGCAGAAGTCCCACTTGGCATCCATCTGGACGCCTGGGGGTTCCTGTCCTGTTGAGTGACTTTTAAAGATAAGCTACAAAGGAATCACAAGTCAGCCGGCCCTCGCCGTGCGGGATCCACATTAGTGGGCACAGGTCACCTACAAGACACTGCTGAGAGGGCAGTGGCCCCTGCTCCCCAGTCCTTAGATGACAGGGAGGAATGGGTAGACCCAGCTCCCGATGATGAGTAGGGGCGGCTGCGCTGGAGCTGGGCAGCCTCGGCCCTCAGGCCCATCTTCCTCACCCAGCAGCCTCTGAATCCCTCTGCACTGGAGGAGGCTGAGAGCCCACCTGTCCAGCCCCCTCGCCTCAAGGGTGAGAAGACAGAGGCTGAGGGGGGCCACATGTAGGAGATCGGGATTCCAGGGGGCTTGTTCTCGTCCCTAACCCCCTTTCTTCCCCTCATTTCCCTGCGACCCATGAACACCACCCCCATGTCCCCTGATGCCAGGCTCGCTGGTCTTCAAGTCTCTGTGCTCCTGGCTAGCTTGCATCTGTCCTTGGAGGTTCAGCAGCGCTCTGGGAAGCACCCCCACCCCAGGGTGCACAGCTCCCACACCCACTGCAGTCTGGGACCTGCTGCTTTTGGCCTCCTGCCCCACCAGGCAGTGAGTTCTGCCACGGCCTGGATGGAATCCTTAAGTCTGGGTCCCAGTGCTTAGCCCAGTCTGGCCCATTCCAAGGGTCTGGTACATATTTATGGAGTAAACGATGAGGCCTTGCCCACATCACCTAGCCAGTCTATGCGGAACCAGCCCAGACTCCAGAGTTCTTGATTCCTGGGTCCCATGCTCATTCCAGCAACCACGCTGCCTTCTTTGGCGTGAGGGGCTGACTTCTCTCTGGAGATAGGTCACGGGGGCCGTGTCCCGTCCCTCTCCCTGCAGGGCTCTGCATTCATCCTTGCTGTTGGTCGGTTGTTGGTCGGTCTGACTGGCTGGACAGGCTTTTGGTGGGGGGAGCTGGGAAGTCCTGGTGCAGGAGTGCCTCTGGGGAGGAGGGCTCCCAAGACACTGAAGGGCCTGCCTGAGTTTAGACATTTCACTCCCCTCTCCTGATGCAGGCCTCAGATCTGTACTCTGTGGCAAGTGTTCATATGGAGGGTCCAAGGCTGCCCATTTCAGAGCAGCATGCACTGCTCAGGGCGCTGCTCTTTCCGGGTCAGGGAATTGGGGGCTGGGACTGGACTCACCACTGAGCTCTTCAGTGCATAAAGGTGTGTGTGTGTAGGGTCCCTAGAGCCTTTTTTCTTTTTTACTTTGTATGATGGAAATTCGCACATAACGTATACGTATACAAAAAGGAAGAAAATAATATTGTGAACTCCAGCTTCGGCTCACGGCCAGTCTTATTTCTTCCATACAGCCCTCCTCCATTCTTCCAATCTTCCCTTAATTATTTGGGAGCAAACCCCCGACATATTTCATTCGAAAATATGACAGGATTTGATAAAAAATACAGGAGGGACTCTTGTTTCTTTTCATTGAGGTATAATTTATAAACAATGAAATGCATAAAGCACACTAATCTCATATATACAGATCAGTGAATTTTCGCTTTTGCATGTTCTTGTGTATCTCCCCAGAACATTTCCTGCCCTTCAAAAGGCTCCTGCTTCGCAGGTAAGCACTATCTCAGATCTTTTTAAAGCCCAGCTGGCTGGACTACGTTCTTTTTTCTGCTGCCAATCTCATGCTGTCACGTCAGCCTTCGAGGACTCTCTGGGTCCTAAATGAGAGCCTTAAGATCTGGACTTTAATCCTGGTCCCAGCACTTCCCCTCTCTGGGCGTCTTTTTTCTCTGCCAGTCACCTGCTGGTTTGCTTGCCAGTCTGTTCTCTATCTTCCTCCGCTCTGCGCTGCCTCACTACTAGAAACTACATTTCCCAGATTCCTTTTTCCTCTGGCTTCTGGGTAGGTTCAGCCAATAGGAAGACAGGTGGGAGGAGGAAAGAAGCCAGGCTCTTTCTCCCTGTCTCTCTGCTTTGAGACATCGGACCTCACCTGTGGTTGGTTGTGTTTCTTTCTTCTCTCCTTTCACGACCCCCTCTCCTCTCGGGCAGCACCCACTATTTACTTCCTGCCACATGGCTCAGGGGGCCTCTGGGTCTATAACGCTACATGAGCTTGCTGACTTTCCAGGCCTGGGAGGTGTAGCGGCTTCCTGCTTTGCTGCTTTCTGGGTTGTCTCGCTGTCCCCCGTTGGCTTCTTATCTTCTTCATCACCGATGGACCAATTCCCTGAGTTAAATTTCTTCCACTTGAAAGACTTGGAGCTTTTCCTGTTTCTAAGCTGGACCACGATGGACAAAGCTTACCAATAAATGGTTATTATGCCTACCCAACCTTCTCCGGGAAGGTGGAGGAAACTCACAGCAGGGATCCATGAATTCTTTATGGGCAGAGCATTGTCTTGGTTTCTTTCCTTTGTGTTCTTCGCCAGCTTCCTTCAAGTTTTACTGATTTCTTTTGGGCAGCACCAGAGAGAACACAAGCAAGGGGAGCAGCAGGCAGAGGGAGAGGGAGAAGCAGGCTCTCCACTGAGCAGGGAGCCCAATGTGGGGCTCGAACCCAGGACCTGGGGATCATGACCTGAGCTGAAGGCAGACGCTTAACCGACTGAGCCACCCAGGCACCCCAGGAATGGATTCTTTTAGATACTCTTTCTTTCTTTCCTCTTCCCCACACTGCTCTTTAGCCAACTGGTGCCCTTAGAAAGGGTCTGGGAAATACTGAGAGACGTGTCATGGGTGAGGGCCATCCTTCTCCAGGATGTTTGCATTTTCACTGGGGACCATCCTTTTCAATAATCCCAAAGAATTATCCAGTTGTCATTTGTGCCAAGGTAGAGAAATCCTGCCTTGACCCAAAGGAATAAACTTCTAATGGTGAACTTCTAAGCCTCCTGCCAGGTGACTGGAGTAGGAGTGGCAAGGAGGAATTTTCTGGTGCATCCTTTTAGGTTAAGGAGAAATTCACACCACAGAAGTGCAGATAGAAGGATCGCTGTTTTCCACAGTGGGCAGCCCAGTGTTGAAAGGCTAATTAGCTCTAAGTAGTGAGAATAAAGAAAGTTGCATTTAATTGAGTGACTCATTTTTTACACTAGAAAGGACAGAAGCTGAAATGGAAAAAGTGAAGGAAATTTAGATAAATTAATAGATTACAAATTAATGAGTTATCAGAGGAAATCAGGATGTTTGACGGAGATGCTTTCTCATAGCACATCACTCTCTGCCAAAGATAAACCTTGAGTGAAGATGCTAATTTTGCTGTCTTCTGCAGAGTGGGTCAACAAACAGTGACCAGTAGACAGTGGGGCCACCAAGACGAATAAGCCTAGGGCCTGTTCTCAGAGAACTCATAGTACGATCTGTGCATATGCACACACACAGATCCACACACGTACATACGCGCATACCAGGATAATAATAGTATCCAGTGGTAAGTGCTGCCATAGAATTCTCAACAAGTCTTTCTCTGGGAGTGTGGGAGAGAAAGTGATTATTTCCATCATGTCCTGTTCCCCAGAGAGCAAGAGGCCAGAAGACCCTTTGAACTCATGACCTCATCCCATTGCAGACCCTCTATTTTACTTCTGTCCCTGTAGCCTTTGCCCATTTTATGGCCACACCCCAGGGTCAGGGGATGGCTAGTGCTGGGAGGGAAGGAACAGCTTGGCTCTGGTAGAGGCTGGGGGAACTTCCAAAATGAGGACAACAAGGCCCTGGGTGACCAACCGAGCAAGACTTCACTTCTCTGGAAGTCAGGGGAGCGGCACTGAGTGTGGAAAAAGAAGAGGCTCAACTCTCCATTTGGCCCCCCTCCTGACTCCTGGGTGGGCACGTCACTTTGCTTCTCCGGGCCTTGGTTCCCTCCTGCTTTAAGTCATTTGGAAGGGGCCTTTGGGACCATCTGGGCTGCCTCACCCTCCCTCCCCTCTGCCATTTCACTTTTCAAATGAGAGCACAGGAGCCCAGAGAGGTAAAGTGCCTTTTTCAAAGTCACATAGTTTAAAGGCAAAAATGGGAGTCACAGAATACCTATGACATGGTCCCATTTATGAAAAAAAAAGCATAAATTAAAAAAAAAATACACGTAGGCCTATAAAAGCATACAAAAAGATCCAGATGGATATACAGATTACGACGACTCTCCTTGGGCCAAGGGGTGGGTAGGAAAGGGAACAAAGGGGAGCTTTTGTTGTTCTGTGTACTTCTGTATTGTTGGAAAGTTGCATCGCGACAACAATGTATTAGGGCATTATTTCTGCACTTTCAAAGATAATATTTTAAATGGCACCACGACAGAAACAGAACTGCAGGTCTCAGATTTCTGTTTCTCACAACCACAAACTTGATCTGGCCCGCTCCAGATCCAGAAGGGCACTTTTTCTAAGCATGCGCTGCCTCCTGGTACCCTGCTGGGCAGTTACAGGGACACCGTGCTTTCCCGCTCATCCCAGCCCAGACCTTGCAATTCTTCTCACAGAGCCCTTGAAATGAAAACTATGTGCTGCACTGCTTTAAGCCACGGTTGGATTTCAGACACCAGCTAGTGAATACAGAAGACTGGGAGGTGCCTCTGTGAACCTTTCAGATCCAACAGGCAGGGTGCTGCATACCTTATTTGTACGTAGGATCGCTCCTTGTTTAAGGACCTGGCTCCAGGGCGAATGGAAGATCTAGGAGTGTCACGGTCCTGCGGGAACGTGGGGACAGTGTAGAGAGCTTTTCAGAGAGCCAGGGAGGTAATCTGGTACCCAGACTGCTGATGAGCCCATGGGCTGTGTGCGAACCTCCCTAGCTTTCAAAGCCAGGTGCGGGGGGAGCCTCAACTTCCCAGGAGTCTCTGGCTGGTTCGTCATGGGAAATAAATGGCAAATACCCTAAGCAGACAACCCCACAGGAGAATTCTGATTTTGTGTTTCACTTGGCTGCTATTTTGTTCTGTGCCCTCAGAAAACTGGCTTCTTTTTGTGGAGGGTCAGTTTCTTCATCTGGAAAATGAAAGAAAACCCAGCCTTTCCCTTCCTAGAGGGGGCTGTCCTCCGCAGGCATCAAGGGAAGCCGGGCTGGGAATCCTGGGTGACAGCACCTCTCACTTGAAGAGGCCACAAGAGACCTTCTGCCCCAAGAGGAAGCCACAGGACCCAGCTGCGCCCTGAGTTTGGAATACCCCACTTCCCTCTTATTTGCCTGGTACACTCCTCTGTGCTCCCCAAGACGCAGCAGAGATGTTACCTTCTCCAGAAGTCTTCCTGAGTCTCTGCCGGGTGAGTGCCTCTCCCTGCCACCCTGGGGCTCCCTCAGCACTTAGTTCTTATCTCTGCCACCGAGAGTCCTTATCTTACGTTGCATGCCTGTCTTCCACCCGACTCCATCAGTGCTCAGGCGGGGCCTGTGTCTGCACATCCCAGGTCTGCTCCTCCAGGAGGCGGGAGAAGCCAGTGAACGTACTCTGGGCTGCCTCCGGTGGGGGTCCGGTGGGGGTCCGGTGGGGGTCCACCGGGGCAGACCTGCCGTTCAGGCTCAGGGCCTGGGCTGTGTGGTTGTGTCTCCTGTGCCTCTCCAGGCTCTCTCTCTGGGCCCTCTCCCTGCCTCTGCCCTCTCTGTGTGCTCACTGCTTACACTTCACTCTTTATCCTCTTGCTGGATTAAGTTTGGAGCAGAGATTCTGGAGGAAAAACACAGTCCTGACCAGTGAGCGTTTCCTTCCTTCCAGGGCTGGTGCAGACTTGGGCCATGCCCACCCGCTTCCTCCCTGACATCCAGTGCTGCCCACATCCCTCCCTGTCCCCTCAGTGCCTGCTGTCCCTAATGTGCCCTGGGCTTCAGGTCTGTGCCCAGGTGCCCTGCCTGGCCCCTCTCGGTGCTGCCTCTCAGTGACCACATTCCTGCAACCCCGTGACCACAACAGGGGACATTGCACATTCCTGGCCTGGCAGCCAATGGTGTAAAAAAGAACAGAATGTCCCAGGGCCCCGCCCAAACTTCAGCTTCACCTGGGCCCCTCCCTGGCCTGGACAAGGTAGGGGGTGGTAGTGAGGAGTCAGGAGGGAAGAAGATGGAGGGAGAGGCAGAGGGGTGCTCTGTGCTCCAGGGCCCAGTGGGGCCAGGAGGTGTTCCCACTTTATTGAGCAGGGAGGACGCTTGCAGATACCCCTTCTTCTTCTACAAGACCTGGGGGTGAGGCTGATCCAGGGGTGCCTTTGGAAGGAGTCCCCAGGGAGGGGATTTAGCTCCTGGAAGCCCACTTGGGGCTTCTTCCCCTTGATCTCCTGCCAGGGAGGAGAGAGTCCTTTCAGGGCTGGCTCTCTAGTCTTCAGCCTCATTTCTCTGCTTCTCCTCCAACTCTGTCCTCCCTCCCAGGCGTCCATCCTGTCCTCCATGGATCTCCTTTTTTCTGCCTTCCCTGTTCTCCTAGTCTCCCCCGCTTTAGTCCCCCTCATCCTGGTTGGTTCGTTTTCTTTGTTTTGCCCTCCTGGCTTGGTGTTCCGGATTCCTGTCCTTGTCCATGATCTCTGGCCCTCCCCCGTCAATCTGTCTCTGGTCTCCTTGTCTGTCAGCCCCCCACCGTTACTCATGGGGGGGGGCTGTCTCTCACCTTCTCTCCAGTCCCAGGACTCCCTGGGCACCTGCCCTCAGAGCTCTCCTTCCTTTGGAGAACTCTCAGCTCAGACTCCTCCTTTGCCCCTCCCCCCGCCCTGCTCACCTTTAATTGAGATGCTAATGAGGCTTCTGTCGCTTCCATCCCAGCTCGGCGGGCGGGCTCCCCAGCCTGGCCACTGCACCTGTCAGGTGAGGGGGAGGAGAGGCTCGCCTGCCAGATTCAACTGGAAAGGAACCAGTCCCAGTCCAGCCACAACCCGGGAGCTGGGAGTAGGAGGCAGTTCAGACCTCCTGGAGGCCTTCAGTCCCTGGGACAGAGAGGGAGTCGGGACACGGCCCAAGGCCAGGGCCAGAGACACAGCAGAGAGCCCACCGAGACTGAGAGGGGCAAGGCGGGGAGGAAGAGGAAGAGAGGCAGGGTCAGAGAGCCTGGCACACAGACAGGAGACAGGCAAGGAAGAAGAGAGCTGAGAAAGAGACCCAAAGAGAAGCAGAAAGAGAGAGAGAGAGAGAGCGCTGGGACACAGAGGTCCTACAGGAGGGACTAAAGATAGGGCGGACTGACAGCTGAGGAGACAGAAAGGGAGGTGCAGGGGCAGAACCCCGAAGGGTAGCTTCCCAGAGAAGCCCAGCCGCAGCTCTTCTGGCCCGGACTCCCGCAGGTCAGCCGGCTCCTGCCTGGGAAGGTGGAGGGAGGGACGGAGGGGCGGAGAAGAGGGGGCTCAGGGCGGGATGTGGGCCTGGCCAGGAGCAGCCTCACTCTGGGTCAAGGTGATGATGGGGGAGGCACCAGGGCCCAGAACTCGGCACTGACCCCCGGCCCTCCATGACCCCCCTCCCCCAAGGCTCATGAAAGGAGAGCAGCGGGAGGAGCAGGGGCTGGGCCCCGAACCCGCGGCGCCCCCGCAGCCCACGGAGGAGGAGGAGGCCCTGATCGAGTTCCACCGCTCCTATCGAGACCTCTTCCAGTTCTTCTGCAACACCACCACCATCCATGGCGCCATCCGCCTGGTGTGCTCCCAGCACAACCGCATGAAGACGGCCTTCTGGGCCGTGCTGTGGCTCTGCGCCTTCGGCATGATGTACTGGCAGTTCGGCCAGCTCTTCGGGGAGTACTTCGGCTACCCCGTCAGCCTCAACATCAACCTCGACTCCGACAAGCTCGTCTTCCCCGCCGTCACCATCTGCAACCTCAATCCCTACAGGTCAGTCCAGCCCTCGGATCCCTCCGCCGCGTCCCGGGCGCCAGGAAGGGTTCAGAGGGGCCCGAGGCCGACCCGCAGACGCAGCGGTAGCAGGTGGTACTCCTGCGCCCAGGCAGACCGCCCTTGGGGCAAGAGAGGGACTCCCCGACTTGATGGGCAGGCGGCTCTGGCCCGCGGGGCCCTCCGAGCGCCCGCGGCTCACCACCGTGCGGTTGTGGGAGCGACAGCGGCCGCCTCTTCACTTGCCTTCTAACTCCGCGAGTGGGAGGGAGAGCTGATGAAGTGAGATGCGGAGAACTCCAAAGGGCCGGGTAGAGATCCTTCCCATCCCTTCCCGGAGCAAGAGGAGGGCGAAGAACAAGGCCTCCTCCACCTGGAGAGAAGAATGTGATGGAGAGGTGAAGCCGTGGCAAGTGCTGCGGGTGGTGGGTGGTGGGTGGTGGATGGGAGCGGGCAGGGGCTGGGCCCCCGGCCTGTTGGTCTTGGCGTAGGAGGGGGAGTTTGTTTCTGGGAAGGCAAGGTTGGGGGGGGGTGGCAGCGAAGCAGGCCCAGAGCACTGAGGCTGGGGGTAGAGCCAGAGGAGACCAGGACAGGACAGAAAGCAGCCCCCAGTCCAGCGGTGACCCCTGCCGGGCTGTACGGTTCACCTGGCCAGGTGCCTGACTTTTAAATGCTCGGGTGTGTCCTGAAGTTTTGGGTTTCATCACTGCTCTTTGCCGGCTTTTCTTCTGGAAGCCGGAGGGGATGGTAACCATGGAGAAGAAAGGAGGGCGGGGCTGGGTGTTTAGATATGCTTTTTATTTGTATTCATTCACTGGGTCGCGCAGCACCTTTAGGGTACCTGGAACTTGTGCCACACAGTGCTAGGCCCCCGGCAAATGGGATCATTCATTCAATCTTCACCGAAGGCCAGGCACTTCGCTAGGTTCCGGGGGCCGGAAGATAGAGTAAGACGGAAGAGACAGGCAGCACAAATAAAAGCAGGACAAAAAAACCCCAAAAAACCAAAAACCAAAAGAGCAGGACAGTGTGATCAGTCTAATAAAGACTGTAAGAGTCATAGTCTCTGCCTTCAGGGAGTGTAAGATTTATGAGTCCCTGCGGGTGTGACTGCATGAGTGTGTGCGCGATTATGGATGATGGAGATTGGTCACCTACTAGGGGTGGAGGCCCCCCATGCATTCTATTGTGTCCTAAGGTGTGTCACGGACTAGTAAGGGTTGGGACGTCCTGTGCCACAGAGAAAACACTGCCGGCCATTTCAGGGATTGGCCTTCCTATGCCTTCCCAGCGAAGGGCCCATTTCCTGAGAAGCCGCTTCGTGCACCCCCCACTGCTAAGTACTCTGCAGCACCCCCAGGTCCCCCGGCAGCTCCCCAAGGCAGGGACTGTTATTACCCCTAGTTAACATTGGAGGGAACCGAGGCAAAGACAGACAAGTCACAAGGTCACCGAGCTGTGACTCACTCTCTGACCCTCTCTCTGATCACAAACCCCTGCCTCTTAATACCCCAGGTGCGGGACATGGAGTAGATGAAGTCTGTAGTCAGATGTTTACATCTTATTTCCTGGCTCTCCTTCCCCTCCTCCCACCCCTGCTCAGCCTCATTTTTCTTCCTTGGTGCCCATGGGCTTTTGCTCCCCTTCTTCTTGACCCTCTGCTGCTTCCCTGCCCTGATCTTCCCCCCACTTACTCCCCTTCACTCCCTTGGGCCACGGTGGAGGGGTGGGACCCTGGACCACTCTGAGCCAGCAGGGAGGGGAAGGCAGGCAGGTGGGAGGGACAACAGGCTGGGTAGTAGGTTCTCCATAAATATTTGTGCTTGGAAGACACAGGTGGGAGATGGAGAGGGCCGGGCTCCATCTGTTGAGGCCTGCATATTACCTAAGGTTCCGCAGGGGCTGGGACACGGGCAGGCCAGGAAAAAGCCCCAGGGAGCCAGACCAGAGCGGCAGGCTGGGAGGCAGGTGTCCACACAGAAAGAATCTTTCCTCCGTGACTGGCAACTGGTGGCCACAGGGCTTAGCAGAGAGAGTGCACCCAGGACGGGAGGGGAGCCAGGGAAGGCCCCCTAGCATGGGGAGCAATGTTGAACACTTACTACATGCTCGTCCCTGCACTGGGTGCTTTATTATTTTTTTTCTTTTTTTCATGTTTTAGAGTTTTGTTTTGTTTTTTAATTTGAGAGAGAGACAGAGATAGCGAGAGAGAGCATGAGAGGGGAGGAGAGGGAGAGGCAGGCTTCCCGCTGGGCAGGGAGCCCTGTGCCTACGTGGGGCTCAGTCCCAGGACCCTGGGATCATGACCTGACCCGAAAGCAGACACTTAACCGATTGAGCCACTCAGGCGCCCCTGCACTGGGTGCTTTATAAGCACTATCTCACTTAATCTTGGCAAGTCCATGGTTAAGAAATTATTATTATTTCCATTTGGAAATGGAGGTGAAATAATTTGAGCAAGGTCACACAGCAAATAATAAAGAAATAACAACGATAATAGCTAGCTCTTCAGGGCACCTGGGTGGCTCGGTTGGGTGTCTGCCTTTGGCTCAGGTCATGATCTCAGGGTCCTGGGATTGAGCCCCGCATGGGGCTTCCTGCTCTCATCAGGCTCCCTGCCTGGGCGGGGTGCCTGCTTCTCCCTCCCTCTTTGCCCCTCCCCTTGCTTGTGAGCTCTCTCTCTCTCAAATAAATAAAATCTTTAAAAAAATAATAGCTAACACTTCTATAGAACTTAATGTGCCAGATATAAGTTTACATTTTATATGAAATTATTTAATTCTCACAGAAGACTTCTGAAGTAAGTACTAGTATTAGTCCTGTGTTATATAGGAGACTACTGAGGCCCAGAGAGGTTAAGTAACCTGCCCAAGTTCACACAGGTGAATAATCACCCTGCCACCCCCACCCACCCCACCTAGCAGCCAGTGCATCTCAGGTTACAGCTGAGTCACAAACCAAGTGTGTTTGATTTCAAAGCTCTTTCTCCCTCTGCACTTTAAGGAGGGGCCGGGTGAAGCACCACAGGGTTTCAGGCTGCTGGTGGGGGCCCGTGGGGGAGAGCAGGGATAAGATGAGAGGTACTTGGGGCGCCTGGGCGGCTCAGTCAGTTAAGCATCTGCCTTCAGCTCAGGTCATGATATCGGGGTCTTGGGATCCAGTCCTGCATCGGGGGGGGTCCCTGCTCAGCGGGGAGCCTGCTTCTCCCTCTGCCTTTGTCCGCCCCCCATTTCAAATAAATAAATAAAATCTTAAAAAAAAATTTGAGGGGTACTCATCAGGAGTGCAGGAGAGAGGGATGCAGGGCTCTTGGCTCCTGTTCCAGGAGAGAGGCAGGGGTGGGTAGACAGGTTAACGCAGCCGGCTGGGCGGTGACCCAAGTGTGACTCACGGCTGCTGGTCAGCGCCAGGTACAGGAGATGGGCCCGACGAGTGATTCCTACAGGCAAGCGGCAGGGAGGAGGCGGAGACCAGTAGACAGGTTAGAAGAGCTGGTGAGATAACAGGAATGAGGCAAAGTCAGAGTAGGGACGCTGCAGGATGCCCATGGCCAGCAGAGGTGGAGCGGTCCTGGGCGGCTTTGTCACTTCTGGGAGAGGGGGCAAGGGCCGAAGACCTTCCATACTAAGCAAGGAAGCACTAAGAATCCAGTGGGAAGCGTCAGCCAGCGCAGTCCCTTTCTTTCTGGTCAACCAAAGGGCTTTTTTTTGACCCAAGAGAGAGAGCCAGTCATATCCACATCGAGGGAAAACAGAGCCCGAGAACATATTTTTCATCTTGTCCTGGGAGGGACTGAGGCTGGACCTAAGGAAGAGCTTGAGATTCTCAGACAACAAAAGAGGTCATGGAACCCTTTCCCAAGATGGCCAAGCAGAGGCACGGCACAGAGGTGGGATGAGGAGAGGGGCAACTCCCCAAAGAGAGACGTTGTGGGGAGGGAGGGCTCTGAGCTGGGCCTTCTAGCCCTAACCCTGCAAGGTGGCAGGCCTGGCAGGGTCGAGAGCCCAGACTCTTTAGAACTGCCCTCCTTGGCCCCCAGGGCTGGGCTCCTTCTCGTGTCAGGACCCTCTCCACCTCTGTAGCAGCTGTCCTTAGAAAGTTCTTCCTTAGGGGCACCTGGGTGGCTCAGTTGGTTGAGCGTCTGCCTTCGGCTCAGGTCACGATCTCGGGGTCCTGGGATGGAGCCCCGTGTTGGGCTCCAGGATGGGCGTGGAGCCTGCTTGGGATTCTCTCTCTCTCTCTGCCCTCCCCCACCCCTGCACCTGTGCACTCTCTCGCTCTAAAAAAATCAAAAAGAACCAAACGTTCTTCCTTAAATAGAGCTGCAGTTGGCCTTGTTACATTTTATATGTTTCCTCTCTTCCTCTCTTCCTGGTTCTCTTTGAAGCAACCCTAAAGACACCTTCTCCTTCTTCACCCACTGACTCGGACAGCAGCACCTGCCATGCAGCTTGCAAAATCCACCATCGATGCTGATCCTCCCACTGAGCTCGTTAGATAAGGAAGGAGATTCCTCCTCCGAGTCAGATGGGAGACCAGGGCTCTGAGAACCTACAGGCTTTGCAAAGGTCGCCCGGCTGTTAGGCGGAGGGGCCAGCATTGGAATCTGCTCTTAGGCTCTACTTTTTTAAGCGCATAGAGTTACATGGTGGATAAGAGGCAGGCAGTGCCCCCGTGTCTCCGTGGCCTGCTCTTCCCCACTAACAGTAACGATAATAAGACAACAGCAGGAGCTGCACAGTGCCTCCTCTGCTGGGTGTTTTTCTCGGGACTTTTCATGTATTAACTCATTTACTTCCCGTAACAACCCGATGCCACATTTAGTCCCATTTTACAGGTGGTGAAGCAGAGACGCAGAGGATAAGTGACTGCTCTGAGGCAAACCATCTAAACAGTGGGCACGGCTCAGACATCCGCCTGCAGAGCCGATTAGAACTTAGTTCCATAGTTCCTTGGATGAAATGGTTTCTAGAGCTTTCACCCCCCGGGCTGTCCCTCCT